AGAGGATATGTCTGCGACCTGAAGCCGGTGGAGAGGGTGTTTCTGGCGAGGGAGGCGAGGATGATGAATCCCAGGAGCACCGGCGAAAACAGGAGCATCGGTGGATTCGGTAACGGCAGCAAGACGTGACGTGGAAGCATTCGAACCAGAAGCATCAGAATCTGAAGTTGAGCCCTGGGCACTCCGAGTCTGGAGCGCGAGCTGCGACATGGTGGGCAATGCGACGGGAAGACAACTGACCGGCGGTCCAACTAAAGGGGGGTGAGGGGGGTGGGTGTGCAGGGTCAGAGCTTAACGCAGGACAACCTCGCAGCGGTTTCGAGATGCCTGGATGACCCTGACTACCGTTGCATATAATTAACCGGCCTCTTTCTTGTCTTATGTATATCCGTACTGCCCAGTGTATGGAGTCCCCTTCTTCTTCTTCTTCTTCTTCTTCTCGGGAGCGAGCGAGCGAGCGAGCGAGCGAGCAAGCAAGCAAGCCGACAGGCAGGGATCGAAAAGCTACAGGCGGAGCGGACGAACCAGGCGTAACCAGGTATCGTAGGTACGCAGATGGACAGTTGTTGATGGTAGCGGACGGAGGGTGACGCTGAAGCGGGTACCCAGTCGGACAACAACGATGAGATGGATGGGTGAGATTCGGGGTGCAACTGCTGGATGGCGTCGTACCTATGGCAGGGCATGCAGGGTGAGATGAGGAAAAGGTGGAAAGGAAATGTATACTCTTGCCGGAACAGAGGGCAGATCAGATCAGATGAATGGCGTCTTCCAATGAATGTCCTGAGGCAGGGAGGGAGGGCTCGTCCTTGGCCGTACCTTGCTTGGGTGTGCTTTGTGGGAGGAATGCTCCAAGCTGGGAAGGGGGGGATGGGGGTTGACGAGACGAGTGGCCGTTATCTTGTATGCCGGCGTGGAACGTTGGTGTTGACGGGGAGGCAAACGGCACCAACCAACCAGGCAACTCGCTTTCCACGGAAAGGTGGCCAACCGTAAGGGTTGAAAGAGCAGCACGGGGTCGGTCGGGGGAGGGGGAGGACGTGGCCGTTGGCGTAAGCGAAGTGTAGGTTTCCCGATGGGCAATGCAATGCAATGCGAAGAAGCTGGGACCAGGCCAAAGTTGGCCAACGGTGAGAGAAGAGACAGACAGACTTTGGTTTTCGACGAAGGGGACCCCTTATTTTCTGTCTTGGTCGTTTCTAGCAACGCGCAAAGGGAGTCTGATAGCGGTCGGACAGTGACATTGGAAGATACTAGGGGTTGGATCGCGCAGGAGCAAAAGGCCTTGAGGGGGGGAATACAAAACATCAGTTCAGTGCATTCCACGACGACACCAATGCTTCCTACGACCTCACTAGCAGCCCCTCGGCATTTGCTTCGTGTGGGTGGGTGGTCGGTCGCAGCATGAGCAGGGACAGAGGAGCATGAGCAGGAGCAGGAGCAGGAGCAGGGACATACATCTGGAGGTTAAACGCAACAAGGTACCGGGGAGTACCTAAGATGAGCGGCTGCGATGGGGGTGTGGTCCCGTGGTCGGATGCAACTCAGAGCAAGGTGGTGACCGGGGGGGGAAATGTACCCTTCCTCCTCTCTTGTCCTCTTGTGGTACTTTCGGGGGGGGGGGGGGGGGGGCAACAGTGACGAAGGAAGTGATGATGATGGGTATGGTTGGGCTCGGTGGATTCCGTGTGTTTGCATCTGCCGCTGCAAGACGTCGAAAAAGGAAAAGAAAGAGAGAAAAAAGAAAAGAAAAAAAAGAGAGAGGGGGGGGGGGCTGCAATTGGGAATGAAATTTCGACGGTCTCCGCTGGCTGTAGGTGCTGTTCCTGGCTCAAGCTACCTACCACAACGGTGTGTTTGGGTGTATGGCTTTGATTGGACTTTGCGAGGGAAGGAAGGAACAAAGGAGAGGAGGAAGATGAGTGGCAGAACCTGCACTCCTTCAGAAACGCATACACATACACATACCCACGCAAACACAATACCTACAATCACCGGAGTCAATTGAAATGCCATGTGGCAAAAATTCATCTTCGGCATTGACCTCGAGGATTCATTTTACATCCCTTTCTAGTGTGTGTAAAGTATTTCTCTCCCTCTCTATTCCTCCCCCTCCTTCGTCCCAGACGGTAGAACCCCTCCCTACGGCTAGACTTTGAGACGGACCGGGGAGGAGAATGCTGACAAGCAACACTATTGAAAACACGGCGATTTATTGCCCAAAACTTGCCGGCAAAGAAGGGTTCTCGTTGTTAACGAACAAGGTATTTGTCTACGAACCCAATCATGTCAATCAGCCTTTGCAAATCCTGCGCTACGAGCTAAGAGCGGTCTAGCAGTGCGACTTCATAAGGGGGGGGGGGGGGGGGGGGGGACAACTTAATCTCCCTTGAGGTCGGACAGTCAACCAAAAGCACATCCTTGATGGTTTGTCTGTTTTAGAGCCTGCCGCGGCGCCAGCAGCTATTGGTCCGTTGATAACGATAGGATCTCGAGTCGTGTTTTTGTAACTATCATACGGGTTTGTCGCGGATTGTACATGGGAAATACATCAGAGGCAAGAGGGCAGCTACCGGTACTCTTGCCGCAGCTACCAACCATCCTTTAGCTTTGTCAACCAACCAATGAGCAGATCTGACGTGCGAGGGAAAGAGCAGCCCGGCCATGACCCGCGCTTCGCTTGCCTCGAGTTGTAGGTATCTCGGTTTCGTTCCTTCCTTCCAGAAGACTATCTAGTCTGTCTGTCTGCCTACCCACCTACCCACCGAGGCCGGTTTCCTTCCTTCCACGACTTACAAATAAATAATTTGAGTCTTGCCGCATCACTGAAAACATGCTCGGTCCCGGAATCTCATCTCCTGTTTCCTCGTCATGCACCACCTGCCCTCAGCTCCCACGTCAGCCACGTGGAATGTGTCCAACTCTCTTCAAGAAAGATAGCCTCGGGCCCCTCCGCTCCATGTCGGGAAGCATCTTGCCCTGCTCTCGCCACGCCGAGACTCCATGACGGGCTGCTTGAAACAACCATGTCGAGTCTACCAAGGTACGACCTACTCCCGCGGAACAAACGCCTGGAAACCATCTGTCAGCTTTCTTTCTCAATCCGATGCCCAAAACTTATTCGCACCCGCTACCTAATCCGCGGGGTTACGCCGTGCGAGCCGGTACGTCCCTGTTCGAGCCAACCTTGGGTGGTTTAGATCCAACTTTGAAATCCCCGCGGGGCCGAATCCGGTCTCCGGCAGCCCTTTTTCCTAGCTCGCTTCTGCATTGTTCCTCTATCTGTTGGTGTCGCCGCCTGATCTCCATCACGGTACCTGCGGCTCTCGTCAGGCTGCCTGCCACTCTCTCTCTCTCTCTCTCTCTCTCTCTCTCTCTCTCTCTCTCTCTCAACCTCCACTTCTGCATTCTGCAAGGCACAGGTGCCGTGCCATCGTGGCCCGCACACACCACCCCAGATTCTTAACGCCACAGCCCAAGGCCTTAATTTAATTTCGGGTCTTAGGGGCCTTGGGCTGCTTTGCTCCAATCATCTACCGCCGCCGCCCCCCCCCCCCCCCCCCCCCACCTCCCCTTCACTTCTTGGTGGTCTTGTCCCCGTTTGGACGTTGAAGTCCCGGACCTTTCCAGGCACATACGAGCGGGGAGTGGTCCAGGCAGCCCATAGGACATATCGCTTCTCCCGGGATTGAAGCACGACAATTGTGGGCTTTGACCCTGGGAGACGAGGTTCCTGCCAGAGCCTCCTCTTCTGTTTACCTACTACTACTACTACTACTATCTGTCATATTTGACATGCTATTCACTGCGCGCCCATCGAAGTGTCACTACCCTACGGGAATAGCAAACCCCCGCAGCGGCCAGACGCCAGTGTCACCGCTCACCCTTCTTCGTCTATCAAACAGGCTCCGGAGGATGGATCCTTCACCAGGAGGTTCAGACGCAGTCTGCCACGTCGCACAGCGTTGCACTCGTCCAGATTGCTTAGCCCCTCCTGTCCTCTCGTTCGATGCCCCCTCGCCCCATTTTGGAAACCTAGGTACTGTTAAACGTAGCAATGGCTGTTTCTTCCTTGTCGCTCGCTGCCATGAACTGGCTTGGCATAATTATATCTGTTATGTGTTATTCAGGAGGCGACATCTCTTCTGTGGGTATCAACACATTCCATCGCGTGCAGATTGCGTGTGCTGGGCCAGGGAGTAATTCCAGAATTCATCATAGTTGATGACTTGACCCTTGAGCAACCCAGGTCTCGCGGCCACCCATCACCGCAACCCCTCCCTTCCTTTCCGCGACACAATGCCACGTCCATGCTATCAAATTACTGTGTAGTCTAGTGTAGCTACCTTCCCGATATTGTCATCATTGTACAGGTGGTGCACAAACCCTCCCAGCTGTAGTCTGGCATGATAGTGCCGCACTTTGGGGGTTGAGGCGTCAACTAGGCGACACTTATCGGCCTGCTAGCTCTTGGATCGCTGGCGTTCCTTGGAAGTTGACCGACGGCTCCGTCATGCCGCCGTCATGTCGCAAAGCATCCCGCCGGCTTATATCCAGACTGTATATTTATTTGCCCAGGTCCGAGGGGATGGGCAAGAAGACGTCGGGATCGGATGAAACGGTGCAATGGTTCTCATCGGACCGGCTCGCTAGGCTGTTTCGCCTCGCTGGCCGCGCTCACGATGAGATGGAATACTCAACTAACTGCCAGCAGTCTTGCCCGTCAACCTACCGCGGTTCCTGTACGTCGGTGTTGTGCTATCCTTTCAAGTCTGACCTGAGCGCCTGGGAAAACACGACGAAACCTTTCCGCCCGGGATCATTCTTTACAGCCCTCCTGGAAGACGGCGTTCCGATAGTAACCTTCTTCTCTCGCAAGAGTATGCATGAACCATCCTTCCCAACCAGATGCGGGAACCTTTCTCTTCCAAGTCATGAGGTCATGCAGCGCACCCGGGCACCCTAGGCGGTGGCTTGAGCCCCTTGCGAGCGCTGCTTGGCTGCACTTTGCTAAAGGGTCCAGGCCTCGCTTTGGAACTTGGCAACACAGCGACATCAATGAAGCTTAGGCCTCAGGACATGAGTACGCCTCGCGCAGTTGATAGCTCTCGTTGGCGACTTCTTTCTCGCCGTCCGATTGCCAGGACAGTGGCACCTCAGCATGATCCCTCAGCCAGGACGCCAAACAACATCCAGCTATCTGGCGGCCGAGAGCATTTCATTACCACAAAGTAGGCATTCTCAAAGCCACCTCGCTCTCCAGCCAAAGGCGCGTCGTGTTCATCACATCACATCTCAACTTCATGTCTCCAGTCAAAGCACTTTCGAAAGTCCCATATCTCCCGTGGGAGGTGCGAGAGATGCTGCTCCCCACCAACTTACCAACAGATGATGCTATGCATGTACACTGCATCCTGGACACGATTTTGACCATGGGGGCAAGCTTGCCGCTGGCAGGATCAGGCCATGTGTGTCGCCAGACCCGCTTGCAGCCGGCTTTCCGTGGCAAGGCGAGATGGTTATTGCACGGTAACATCTATCTATTCGGCCCCTGGAGCTTCGCGGGCGTAACACAGCTGTTCTTTTCCCAATTTGAGAGCTGTCCCCGGTCCAGTTTGGAACCCTGACACATCTACAAATCTCTATCCGCCAACGAGAGTACACTGCTTACTCGGACAATAGCAACCGATAGCAACGAATGAGGCGGGGCATCTCAGGGGAGGGATAGTCTTTTTGTCCCAAACAAGAAGCCAATTTAACCGTGCAGCAACGACTCACGGCGCTGCAACTATTCTCATCTGGCGCTGTGGGTGTGCAGGACCCCCCCCCCCCCCCCCCCCCGACTTGCAGCAACCAGATGGGGTCTGCCAGGAAGACTCCCCTCCCCAGCGTCGCTTTGTCCCGTAGCGCCTCGGCGGTCATTATCCCTGGACCATGATTGCCGGTGGATCTGGCAATTTCCATCCATTTTGTTATGTGCATTGGAGCCAGACAACTGGCCGCTCAAGCCGCCGGGTGCCGTTACATCACAAATGGGCAAAGGCAATACAAGGAAATGGAGCTAGCATTGAAATCAACCTGGCCCATCCACCCCCCCCCCCCCCCCCCCCCTCGCAAGCGCGTCGGGAGGGAGACCCTGCTGATGGTTAACATCATTGGCGGCCTGTGCCTGTCGCTCCAAAGCCAAGTGCTCAGATCGACGACAGGGACCAATCAGGTGTTATGTGAGGGAAAATGCACTTGGACCCTGAGAAAGACAAGAGGGAAGCAGTTCCACGTCTTGTTAACAAGGGAAATTGCAATAACTCTCGCCGACGTGGACGGTTGATCATCGCGCAGCTCTGATACTGCGACGAGCGGCCACTACTTCAAGTCATCCGCCCTCTGATTCAGATCTGCGTACTCATGGTGCTCAAGAGAACCTGAACAAGCCTTACCTAGCTTCACTTCCGTCGTCGTCATTGACGACGCCCGCGACCGCTTCACTCGAGACTGCAGCTCAAGCCAAGCTACAGTTTGTTTTCTTGTCATCGCCCGTTTTGCTTATTTGGCAAACATCTAGCTGCATGCAAGTGCTTGGACGCTCTAGATGCCGCCGAGCGCCACAGTGGCTTTGGCAGCCTCGAATTCAAAGTGCAAAAAGACGGCGGCACTTGCTGCCAGGTAGATGCCGCGTTACAGAGATCTTTGTCATCGACCGCACCCGGATAGGGATCTGGGCAAGGCACATCCGTCTGATATCATTCGTGTCATCCTGTGCCTCGTGCCCGATGAGCTCAAAGTGCGTAGAAGAAGTATTTGACATTCGAGTAGTCCCCCCCCCTCTTCCCTAGGCGCCAGGTTTACACAGTGTAATCCCGAGCATTCAAAGTTCATCCGGACCTTGACATCCACACTCTTGTGTGCCAGGGGTTGTTAGTTTGCGCCTCACGGTGTCACGATCGAGCCCAAGCAACCTAGCGTGTCCGGTGATCCTAACAGGCATCGAATGGCGGGTATCACGGGACTTGAGTTGAGGGTATCGGGGCTATAGACATTCATCTTCGAAAGAGCCCTGTCCGCGTGTACGTGTAGGCCGGGGGGTGCTCGTTCACCAGGAGTAACGTAGTTTTGCTCCTTCGCCACATGGACATCAGAAACCTGTCAATCACGCACGTCTTAAGCTACGAACAGGACGGGAGCAGCTGACGCCCTCGTAAAGTTTTAGCAACCTGCCGCGAGGCTGACCCCATAGCTCTGGCCATCAAACCAGTCAGGAGTCCTCACCGGAGACGGGATAACCTTTGAGTGGGTTCCTGTTATGGCCTAGATGGAATTATTGCCGCCGTTCATCCCCGTGCGGCGACTAGTTTTCAAGCCACCGATCATCCATCGACCGACCCTGACGCGATTCCTTACGCACGGCATCGGGAACTCGCTACCTAGATATCCCGACCCTCGATGTCCGAGGTCTTTTTTTTTTTTTTTTTTTTTTTTTTTTGCTTGGGACGAATCCCGTCCCAGGACGGCCAGATTCTCGCCTGCTGTGCAACAGGTCAATTCGACCTCGGCCTGCAATTATGTTTTGTGAGTCTGTGACATCTCATCCAATGGGGAGGGTTCGGTACCCGTCCACCGACGCGCTGAAACGTGAAATCCACCGCCCCCGACCGCAGGCCGTAATCAGCCTGAAGAATAACCGGCGTCGCGGACGTGTTTCAAATGCGCCATCAATTTAAGGGGAGGCCCCCGTCACAGACCCTCGCTTCACCCCCCCGCCGAGCCAAAAGACCACGGAAAGTACCTCACGTGAACGTGTATATTTCAACACATCATCGTTAGGCGCGTTGCGGATGTTGAGATGACGGGCGTGGCAATCGGACGGACAGCCCGGCCCCGGCATCCAAACCCGTCGGCGAAACGCGTTGGGCCATGCTCAAGACATTACCGGACGCGGCCCCGTTGTTCCTACCGGGGCGTGGGCGCTGTCACGATCTGGCACACGATCGCAAAGGCCATTTGCCGCGTGCCCGTGCTCGCGATGCATGCGGAGCGACTCGCCACCGCCGATGGGGGTGCCATGCTGGTTGGAAGGGTCCCATCATGCCGCGATCGTGGCAGGCGGCGACGGTGGTGCGCGACTCGGAAACGTATACTCGAATCGCGCGGGTCCTCCACGGACTGCGCAGTTGTGCCACCCAGCACCTTTGCTGGCAAGGGTTGCTTTGCATCTGATCCAGGAGAGCGGTACGCATGCCCCAACAAGAAGACCCCATTCGCGTCTCGCATGTACTTCTCACTGCGTCATGTCGGCCAATCTTTTATCTCGGATTCATCATTGCCAACTAGATCCGTTCTCTATTCCCAGCGGCTATCCATATTCCTCGAATTGGCAATAGCCGATACCTAATGCTTGCCCGTGTGCAGCGTTCCGGGCAGGCTATGCGACGCGGGGCAGCCAGCTTGGGGAGGGGGCCGTCTCTCCGAAGACGCGACAAGGGGCTGAACGAACGATGAAGTGGCCTTTTGGGCCTTGTACTGGATGCCAGGCCCGAGTCATCGAATCCCTCGGCGATGTGCCTTTGCCGGAGTCCAGACCCATTTAGGCTGCTTCGTGATCGTCTGTTCTGTCCTGGACGCCTCCAGCGACACGTCTATCACGGTACCCCTAGCAGGGAATCCAGTCGGTTGCAGCTCCTCCGCAACCCTCCGCAACAGTCGGCACGTCGCTAGTCGTGCGGGATCTGCAGAGCCCTTGGTCCCGGGTCAGGTTGTATGGCGGTGCCGTGTTCCCGACAATTGATATCGCCTAAAGGGCACCTTGTCTGTTCGTATCGACCGGTTGAGCTGGGTCTAGTGACTTTACGGGCAGGTCATGGGAACCATGTGTCCTGCTTTGGGGCTCCCCTTGCCCCCGGACTCGGAGTCGCCGCTGCCGTATCAAGGAGCCCGGGTCCGCCAGCCAGTTTCCGTACCGTTCTCGGAGGTTGTCATATCCGGCTTTGATACGTTTTCGCTCCACGCTTCTGGCCGGTGACGAAGGCCTACGGCCTGCATACGAAAGGCTATGTATGTCTCGGCGATGGCCAGCCGGCTTCATCCGCATGCTTGCATTTCCGAAGAACGGGGGCCTAAACTTTCGGCGTGAGATCTTGTGTAGTCACCATCTGCTACCGAATAGTTTCCTTTTCAAGTTGATACACGTGCTTCTTCGGTCGGGGTGCCGGGCATCACCCCTCAGCATAAGAGTCAAGGCATCAATGCCTCTTCCGCAAGTGATCATTGAGCACACGGGGCCCGAAAGGACCTATGGATCTCTTCTGCTCTTTGGTCCTCGTAAGACCTTGGGGCGTTCAGCCAAGAAACCGTGACCCTGGACGTTCCGCATTCATAATCTCAAAATACCGCGACGTAGACAACATAGCCCCAAAAGCCGACATTCAACAGTCTTTTTCCTTTCGAAGCCGAGCGACACGGGGGAGAATTGCGAACCCGTACCAAGCCGGCGAAAGCGCGCAGTCCTAGAACGGCCTTGAAAACAGTCGGCCTTCCCGGCCGCCGATCTCGCGGGGTGTCGTGCAAATGGCGGCGATAGAGCACACGTGAGACGTGGGACTGTCCAGCCTCGTGGGTTTCCTACCTGACACGAAGCTGGTGCAGCGAGATAGAGAGAGGGGGGAGGGGGCCAGTGGTCTCCCGAGACGCTCTTTCCCCCGGGGTCATGACGCGGTGACACCTGTTGGGGAGGGGTGAGGGGTCCGAAAACGTCCCAGAGACGATCGTGAGGTTCTTGGCTGCGTCCTTGGCAACGTGCGGGTCAGCCGGCAACCTTCTGGCGTAGGTCGATGCCGACTGTCGAGTATGAACCACGACGCAACAGCGTCGTCAACTGGAAACGGGGAGGACAAAAGAATAGAACTGCCAAGTGTTAAATATAGCCTCAGATCTATCCAGCCCTGTCACAGCTGTTGCGGCTCCCCTGGTCCCGACGAGAGGCCCAATGTAACCCTCCTCTCCAGCAGCTCGGTGTGGAGGGTGTGGGCGGTTGTCTGTCGTCTCAAGGGGACGGCACCTGCGATCTTCGAAACACGGGACCCGTCGATTGGCTTGGTTTTTTTTTTTCTTGTTTTTTTCGGTCGACTTTCTTGTTTACAAAAATAAACCATAAGACTAGCTCTTCTAGTTCCGCTTATTCAAAAGCAGCCTGGGCTGTTGCCTCGGCTACGGAACGTTGATGCCATATACCTCCTGTCTCAAGTCCTTCTGCGCCACGCGTACCGGTTCGATGGGGGGGCTTAAACTTCATGATGGATAACCGCTTGACAGGTGGGGGTCGGGGGATCCTCAGACGTCATGGGACGCAGTTCAATGCCAAATTTGGCGGAGTGCGTCCAAGGGGAACGAAAGGGAGCATCTTTGTCCGTGGGCGACACCAAGTTCTCTACGACCCCAGGAGCACGAGCTTGGAGGGATGGGTGGAGGCCCTCGGTAGGTCAGTCGCCCTGTGTTGGACGGCGGAAGGGGCTGCGGCATCTCGTCGGCTGCCCACTGCGATGCGAGGTTACGCAAGATTCATGGACTGCACTGCTTGCCCATTTCCGCAGGGGCGACCTGGAAAGACGACAACACGGCTCCGCGAGTCGATGTGGTCCAGGAGGTGATACTCGGCATCTTCTTTCAACCTCTCTAGCAGTTGTTAAAACGGCTTCGGGCAGATAGACACATTCCACGGGTCCGAGAAAAGAGTGAGGTTTGTAAGGTAAAACAGCCGTCATTTCTTCTGGTCATCATCAAAGTGTTTCTATCATGGCACGTATAACCGCGTACCGCCGACACAAGCCGCTGGCTTCCTTGTGAACTAAGCGGAGGGGGGGAAGCAGAAAAGCAATTCCAGCCGTAAAAAAGAAACCCAGGCGACAAACTCCTTCGCAAGCATTGTATCCCGTCCCATCGTATCAAAAGACCGTATAGCGCCGCTAAGAGCAAACATGTCCAACAAAAGCATCGCTGTGTACCACCCCAAAGCAAACTGCCACCAACCTAATCGCTCCGCCAATTTTATACGATAAGAAAACAAAGGCAATGAGTACATCTTCTTCGGGAAGTGAGGCGAACCAGGAGGAGGGGACACGAGGAGGCTTCATCGCCGGTAGTTGTACTCCCTCTCCCTCCTCCGGTCCGAGATGGTGACGCGCATCCGCTCCTCCTCAGGTGGGGGCGGCGGGGGCGGCAGCATCCGCGGCGGACTGTACCGCCTCCCCTCAACGTACCGAAACGTCTCGTACCGCGGCTCGGCGGGGACGGGGACGGGGTACGGGACTCTCACGGGCACAAGCTTCTCCCGCTCGACGTAGACCTCGCGGACCTCCCTCTCGCGGTCCCGGCTCCCGCGGCGCGAGTGGCTGTGGCTCCGACTCCGGCTGCTACGCGAGCTCTTGCTCGACTTGACCGACCTGACTGAGGGCTCGACGTCGACGGCGATGACCTCGATGGGCGGGGGCGGCGGGGGGTGACGACTTCGGGCGGCGGGGGCGGAGGAGGGCACGGCAGGGCCGGGGGCGGGGGCGGGGGAGGAGGGGTCTCGGCCTTGGGCGGCGGCACGGGCTCGGGCGCGACGATGACGGGAGGAGGGGGGGGAGGGGGTGTGCACTCGCGAGGCGGGGGCGGGATGAATGTCGTCTTCTTGGTGCGGACGGTGACGGAACCGTTGGTGGGTGGCTCGAGGTAGAGGCGCTTCTTGGCGCCGTGGTGGTGGTGGTGGCGGTGGTGGTGGTGGTACTCGTAGTATTCCTTGGAGGAAGCTGGTGGAGCGGGGTCGTTAGTTGACATGGAGCGTGGACGTGACGCCACTAGGTGACGTCAGGATTTTGTTGGGGCTCACTCGTACCCATTGTGGACGGCTGGATTCGTTCCAACAAGGACAGAGACAGCTGTTTACACGTGTTGTGTGTGTGCTCTGTGTGAAGTTCTGAGTGCGCCGACTTGATGGCCTACACTTGATGCGACGTCGCGACGTCGGGAAGGGGAGTTTGAGTTTGTATGGCGATTTGAGTTGTGGGTTGTGCAGGCGGATAGGCGCAGACCCCCAAGGATGGGATGAACCGCGAATGCGATGGGACGAGCTGCGCGACGCGACTCAATGCCGATGCCGATGCGATGCGGTGCGATGCGATGCACAAGCAAGCAAGCAAGCAAGCAAGCAGAAAAAAAATGATGGGGGGTTTGCGGTTGTTCGGCAGGGAACTCGCAAATCCGATTTGCAATGTGCGATGATCGGAAAAGAGCCGATGATCAACAGCCGGGACGTTTGTCTTTAAATAAGTCACCAGTGGCGGGAACCCCGGGTAGACTAAAAAAAATCAACAGGGCTGTGGATGTGGTGGATGTTCGTGGGTGGTGGTTGGAAAACTATGTGGAAAGGTTCGGGCGAGAGGAACTAAAGGGAAACGATGGGCCGGGGGGAGGGAGAGAGAGGCGCTATCCATTATATAACTGACCACAACAACCACAATATCACCACGCGAGAGAAGTGTCTGGGCCTAAACAGGGTGTGGACTGCGTGCAGGAGAATCAAGGTCGGCCTGCCTCTCACTGCCACTGCCCCCCCCCCCCATCCACGCTCATGGTGAACCACACCGAACGGAAAGACGAGCGGGAGAGTGACATTACACCACCACACCCACATCGTCGAGCAACCAGTCGGCAGCCCAAGAGGCGCCCAGTGAGGAGGGGACATCCAGGCAGGCCAGGCTGCCGTGCATTGGACGCTGCCATATGGAGAACAGGCTCAGCAAAGGCACATGATCCATCTCCCTTAGAAAAAAGGCCCGATCGAAGCTGCACGAAAAGAGTGGAGGGAAACGAGGCGGAGCGTTGGGCAGAATGGAGAGGAGAAAATGCACATGCAGAAAAGCACCGCCTGTTTGACCGGGGGATGATTATTGACCAGGCTATCGACCTACCTACTGATAATAACGTGTCTGTCTAAACGAAGCTGCTCCATCTCCAAATACATGGGACTCGATGCGAATAAACTACAATGAACGCTGATATGAATGAGGATTAAGCCCGCCTATTCAGTCAACGTGTGCATTCGTTCCCATCCCATTCCTCTCTCCTCCCCTTCCGCTCCTCCTTCTTTCCATCCCATGCCTCTCCCCCTCTCACGACTGACCAACGGACCGCTCGAACCTACTTCCCTTCGTGTAGCCGACAAGGGTGCGCTATTGGGCAATTGAGGCCTTATGACGCCAGTGCGCATGTCACGCCAAAATCAAGATTCGAGGCGGTCGGCTGGGTGCCCCTCCTCCGCCCTATTGGAGCCTGTGCGAGAGCCGAACTGGCTGATATGCCCAATGCCAGTCATTCACCCAAGAACCACCGCACTACCACGGGCCCTGCGTCCCCCACTGTTTGGCATGTGACGCCCTTGTTTCGACGCCGCCATGATTGGGGAAGCGTGAATCAAGGTTGCCGTCGTGATTGTCTACTCTGCGCCAGCCTGCGGGTTTCCGTGTCCATCGGGCCATATCCGGGGGGGTCGCAGCCCAGACGGGTACCCCCTGATCGTGGGGTCGCAGGGCTGAGCTTGTCAGGTTGGGTGAGCTGGCAGCTCCATCATCGTCCCAGCCATCTCTCGAATCACCGTAGCTCGGTTCTGGTGCCGTCGCCGGGCGAGAAGAGATAGAGAATGAATAATACTCTACCGGTACCCTTTTCGACCCGACGTCGAAGGCTGGTTGGCTGGCCTCAATCTCCGTTGGGCGCCGTTCCACATTGCCAAGACGATGAGCAGCTTGTCCCGATCGAGACTCCGCTGGCGGCCCAATCTTTGAACGCCTATCTACTGTTTCTCCCACTCGATCAGTTCAAGTCTGGACCAGTCTGCTGGACCCTTGAACCAGGACCCCGGCCTCCTCGGGCGTCCCCCCCCCCCCGCGCTTCGTGGATTCGATCGATCCAAGGCAGTTATCGTCGTCGGACCAGGGTCGTCAGTGCGTCGCGCAACTGCAGTGCGCGGTACGTGTCTGCCCTTAGGCCCGCTGGGTTCGCCCTCCTAGGCGGCGCCCTAACCGCCTCTCGAAGCTCTTTTCAGCTGACAGCGGCCTCCTGTACACGACCTGCCGAGCGGGGAGCATCTCGGTCGCGTCATGATTGTAAGGCTTCCCAGGAATGCCCTCGTATGACGGGAACGTTGAACCGAGCGTATCGTCGCCTCGTATCTTTCGAACTACCCAGGTGTAAATGTGTCCCAATTCGCCCATCCACCAGAGGCCGAGCACGATCGTCAGGATGGTTACGGGTATGGCAGTTGCCCAATACAGCCACTGCCCGTCCTTCATGTCTCGGATGTCGCTAGAGTTCATTCCGAAGATGCTCGAAACGGCGCTCAGAGGCAGGAAGATGATGGTCACAATGGTGAAAGCGTAAATGGCCTGTTCCTGGCGGCCCTTCGTCACCGCCGCGTTGTTGAGGTTCTACTCTCAAAGTTAGCGCCCGTATCCCGGCTTCCGAGCTCACGCGGTATCAACTCACAGTCTGTTCCAAAACGTCAGCTTGCTCGCCGTACTCCTGGAAGTCCCTGCTGCGCCGCTCCAACAGCTGTGTGCACTCCGCCGCCAGGAGATCCCTGAAGCCGGCGGCGTCCGTTGATGGAAGCTTGTAAAAGTCAGACACCTCAGCCACGGGCTCCAGCGGTGCATTCATGTCGTCGTCATTGGCGTATCTGCGAGACCGTAGAAAAGTGGCGTCACGGTGATTGGCCTGTTCTCTGAACTGCGCTCGGTACAGACGGTGCTGCTTCGTTGCTGCGGGCAGGGTTTCTTGGCGAGACGTTAGGATGGAGTTGAATACGTTGCTTTGGGCGTCTATCGTGCGGTTGATCACATTGACTTCTTGCCGCAGGAAGTTGATGCGCTGCTGGTACGAGAGATCCGACTGCCCGTTGGCAATCTCGTTTTCCTGCCCACTGTCAGTACAGGATTTGATAGTGAACGGCTTGCATAAACTCACCAAGGCTCTAAGATACTCTGAGTATGTATCTGTAATCCCAACATACTTCCCGGGCGTATCGGCCAATAGGCTGTAGCTGATCAGTGAGACTACCTCGAGCGGGAGGACCGAGGACCGTTCCATGAGGTTAAAATCAGACAGTCGTTCCATAATGTGCTTCATGCCACTCTTTACCAGCGAGTCGGCCACATCCAGGTGGTCTTCCCACATGTTTGAATCATGACTGGCATAGATCAGGCCCATAACCAGATGAAGCCAGGCACGGATTAGGTCCAGCGGCACATCGATCTCCAGCCGATCCGTTGGCCCAGCATGAGAAAAAATGCTCTTGAACGCAATGACCGGGAGGGCAAGTTGACGCAGCAATTTCCGCACCGTAGGGGCATTTATGTAAACCGCGTCACGCCTCGTCTCGTCGAAGTTGTCCGGATAAGCTTCACCGTCAGCAGCCTCAGGTGGAGATATCTGTAACCCCCGTTAGCAATGTTCTGAACTGAGACAAGAGAAGCCGCAAAGACACACCCTGACCAAGTTCATTACCGCACCCCAGAACCTATCTGTCGTTGGACCGTCGAACAACGGAGGGAGAAAGAACCTGAATAGAGAATCGGCTGCATTAAAAATATCAATGCGGTCCTCGTATTCCTGCTTCTTCCATGCCGTTGACGTAGAACGCATGTCTGTCCCTAGCTGCTCGAGATATAAATGTACTTGATCCCGCGTGGACGTCTCACCTTCGAGGTAGGATCGCCGGTCCGGTCCGTTTGTTTCGGCTGTCAGAAACTCTTCCACTTCCGAAAGTTGCCTCTGAAGAACGATAAAATTGGGCCCCTCCATTGGGCTCGGGCGGGTTGCCTCGGCCCAGCTAAACACATGGAACACATCGCTGGTTTTGCTGGGCCGTCCGGGTGGGAAGCTCATTCGGTTTCCAGGTGATAGTTTGAGCGGTTGAAGATTGGCACCAGACGACTGCCCGTTAGTGTTACTCAGGCTTTGGGTGATAGGCCTCAGAATCCCGCTTGGCGGAAGTTGTGGTGGAGCGCTGGTTTGTATTAGCTATTTGTACTCACGGAAGGATCCAGGCAACTAACCATGTTTCCATATTGATCACGACGTTCCTACTCGAAGTCCGGGCAAACTGGAGCACCTTCCACCACCGAGCCTCTGTCAACAGACGGCCGTTGAAGTGGAAGCGGATCGCCTTGGGCCAGAAATCGGAGAAATGAGCGATGAAGGCGAACCACGTCTGGCATTCTTCCAGTGAGAGAGACCATATCACCGACTCGCCGCATTGGACCAGTATGCGGCCGCCCTCTGTGTTTGGCGTAAGTCCTCTCGCCGGTTCAGACGTCACCGCGATAGTGTCGCCACGCAGGGCATCCTCGTACATGGAGCCGCAGGTAATCAGCAGCGAGTTGTGGAGCACGACGCACCACAGCTGTCTGATGTGAAAACACCAGTCATTCTCCCCATTTCCGATTTGCCGTGCTGCCTGGAGCATGTCTCGCTTCTTGGGGTTCCGCGAGAAGGCTGACTGGAGCAGCGTTTGGGGTGGGTAGGCACCTGGGTTACCCGTAGCGTAGACCCCGGAGTACTCTTCCAGGGAGAAGTAAGGGATGCAGAGCCACGTCACCGTTCTCTTCCCATACTGCGAGTTCTTTTCTTGGTCGCCCTGCTGGAGAGGAAGCTGGAGGTAGCTGGGCTCCATGTGCTTCACCGTCGTCTCACTGGATGTACGGACAGTCTTGGAGTAGTTCTTCCTTACGTCGGATAGTAGCTTACGAATTTCGATCTGCTCTTTTTCTGACAGTGCCTTTGAAATCTCATTCTGTGTTATTGTCAGCTTAAATCAATACCGGTTTCGGCGTTTGTGTTCTAC